TTATACTCCAAAATCATAAGTTTGAATCAGTTCGCCCTTTCTGCGGGAGCCAGAATGACATTTAAATTAAACTCGTATTTGTATTTCGCATGTTATGAAGCATTCGTTAAGCATGGTACCAGTATCATAATTAATCCTGCTAAGCTAAACATAAATCCAAGTGTTTGTCACACAAAGAACAACGAAATGTAAATTGTACCTACCCCTAGAACTGTTTATGATGAACGATCATTGACGTGCAGGCTACCTTCCTAAGTAAACGGCTTAAACCACAAAAATTTTGATCTGTTGTTTAATAGAAATCATTACAATAAACGCTTCGCTCAGCTCATTTATTTTCTCGAACAGTAGATCTCCCGAAATTTCAGTCACTCCTCTTATTGATTGTTGCTTTTCATGTTCATGCCACGTCATGACTATCCCGAAATTTCAGTCACTTCTCTTATTGATTGTTGCTTTTCATGTTCATGCCACGTCATGACTATCCCGAAATTTCAGTCACTTCTCTTATTGATTGTTGCTTTTCATGTTCATGCCACGTCATGACTATACATATGTGTAGTCATGCTATTTGTGGTGCTTCTTTTCACAATTTTTGTATTACTTGATGTCTTGTTGTACTTGTAAAGTTTATTTTGTATTCTTCGTGTATGAATGTCTGTCATACTGCTTCTTTGCTAACTTGTAACGTGGTCGGTACCTTGTCAATCTCTTCAGTTTTTAGTCCCGTGCTCCTCCTATTGAAAGAAAGGAAATAAAGCCTCTGACCAATACAACTATTTTAGGTGAATTACCTATATAACTAGGAAACTTTGCCCAAGCTGCCGGACGTATAAAACAGTGGCCTAATATGTATCGGAGAGTTGTATGTAACGGTTTATTATGTCATGGCAAATGTTAAATCTATTTCTTATTGGCACAAAAAGCAGATGTCTTTCATTAACTCTCTCTGAAAAGAAATCATTCCTGATCTCTCAACAAATTTACTGTAATCCTGGCAGCTTGCAGATACTAGCAGACAATACATAACTGTAGCCGTTGTATGAATAAAGAAATCCCAAAATTATTAAGTTCCCAGAAAAAGATACTTGCAGCGTAAATAATTTTTGCCACTTTAACACACACAGGTCCTGGAAAAATTGCAAATGTTTATATGCAAAGGCATTCAAGGTGAGCCTCGCATCCCCAGGTATTTAACAACTGCTCCATGACCTGTAAGCAGCAAAATCAAATTTTATTTTGAAACCAAGACTTATAAACAGAGCCACGTTGCAGGGACGACTTGCTGACCACAAGAACTGGCAGGATTCGAGCAACATGCCGCTCTATTTCTACATGGTACCGGATACGTTAATTGCTAAATTACTGAAAAAAGCAGCGTGCTACACCAGTAACGGTGCTACTTACAGCACGCTACCGCCAACACTGGAAACAAGACAGGTGTTCTTTCACTCATCACGATTACCACAAAGTACAAGATTTCTCGTAACATAGCTTGGCATATAATTATACAGGGTGACCATCCGCCGCTCAGCAGTGCACAATATATGAGCGACAGACTCTTCTAGTGCATCAGATGTAACTCCTTCATTGGCTTTCTCGTCATATTCCGTGTCGCGCAGCATTTATTCTAGACAGAAGAGCTACGTCTGAGCTGAGGCGTAATATTTTGCAGTCAGGCACAATACGCCTACTCTGGGTCTTCTTTTTTGTCATTGACATCTTCAGGCATTTCAGAAAAACCCAGCGCAAGCACCAATTGATAAAGTACTTGTAAAGCAGCGACCACCTGTGAAGAAAATAACAGCGCACTGGACGAAAAGCCTGTAAAGTGCACCACTCACTACCTGCGCTGCTGCCATCAATACCCCTGCCTGCCCTTTCGAACACAACATGGCTAGAGTTCCAATTCAAAAATTTCGTCTTCTGTTTTTAATATTTCATCCCAATAATAAAAGCATGCCTCCTGGTCGAAGCACACACAATTCGGTTTTAATACGTGCAGCTTTCGGTAATGGGGTAATCGCTGTCGGCTCTTGTGTCAGAAAACCCATTGTGAAGCAGCTACACCTAGTTACATGTCCGCCCCTTGCTTTTAGGGTCAATAGCTGACGGTTGAAAAAAAAATACCATAACAGCATCGCAACCATTGCATCGTTTTTTTTAGGGGGGTGGGAGGCTGCGGCCCTTGAAGGGCGCAGTCGCTGGCGCGCGCTAGATGTTGAGGCACTAATGAGACTGCTCGTAAACTTTCTGTGTATGCTATTCCGCTGCTTTGCGTTTAGATAACTGACAGCATCAAAACCGATTCGGGGACTGGAGTGGTTATTGTCCGTTTAGCCAACGTTCTATTGAGTTAGGCGATATCGGGTCCAAAGGATACAATTTCAGTTTCACGTAATCTTTTAGCTGTGAATGCGATACCAGGAAATTTTATTGTTATACAACCAAATAACAAGGCGTCATCTGCGAGGAGCGCTAGTGGCTGGGTTACCATTTAGAAGGATCGCACACTCGTCGCACAGTGCAGAAAACTTGCATGCGCGGTGTTGAATATCTGTACCGTGATTTGGATGGCAAGAGACCCCTGGAACATTTCTTGCACCCCGATGCACGTACAGATGGAATCGGACTTGTCTAGAGCGCCCAGCTAGCCACTCCAGCTGCCGTTTTCTTCTGAAATATGAAAAGGGGGACACCGTAATCATGGCTTATATCGTCATACTGCATGTTGGGTCCTTGTGCTGTGATGTAAGCATGAAAGGAAACTTGTAGCTAACGTGACATCGAAGAGCCGCCGCCAACAACAGTGTCGACTAGTGCATCTTCTGCTCCTCTAGATGAGTGGGATTCTATCTGCACAGCACGCATGACGTGTACGAAATGGACTTCCAAAAAATGGCCCAATCATTGTGCAGGCCGCCTTGCAATCAAGGCCCAGTGAATACCCCTATATAGCCGCTCCAGAAAGCGAAGCACTTTTGCCCAGTCTGTTCGTGCTGAGGGTACGATGTAGAAGGGTACACGAGCCGTCTCTAATGCCTACCGAAATAATGCGCGCATCAGTGATCACACCTTTGAAGTCAAAGTTCGTTACAATGCCACCTCCCATCCCGCCTTTGCGTTCCTAGTTCCTTCCTGCTACTTGAAGATCGGCGCCGCGTTTCTCCCTGCCCGAGTAATAATTGACGGCAAGCCTAACAGGTGGGGTGATGTTATCGCATTTTTCCTCTTTGGAAGGGAGATAGGACAGCTCCTTTTATTCTTGCTTTAGCCGCGTTCATCACTCCCGCATGTGCGCTTTTACCCGTGTGTAAAACACACAATGCGGGGAGGGGATGTTATCGATTTGGACCTTACACAAAACATGACGGCGACGGCCAGTGGCGTAGCCAGGCGCAAGGGGGGGGGGGTGCACATCGCAGACGTCTTTCCTGAAATTTTTTTCACCTTGGCATATATAGCGCAAAATGACCATTGACCTGCCCGGCCCCCCCATTCAAAATCAAAGTGCCCCCTTTCCCCCCCAAACATTTTTTTTGGAATTATGCTTATGCCCCTGGTGACTGCAAAAACTAGTCGAGAATGTCTATACAATTGCTATCGTAATAAAGACAAAATGGCTCTCGTCTTTGAGTCGTCTTAGGCGTATGCATAAAATATCACTTCCCATGGTCTTCAACTTTCTGGTGCCTAAAAGAGTTGCTGGCATTCTTTTGGGGCAGCGAATGACACTTCTGTTGCCCCCCCCCCCCCCCCCCCTTAAAAAAAGAACTTTGTGAGCCAGTTTTTCTTTTGCCATCCCTACTCCTCGGTTTTACAAATCTCCTGAATGTCAAGGTCGCCAGTTCGACAGAGCCACATTTGAATTCGCTCAGTCTGCCAAAGGATTACGCAGGCATGGCAAATGCTAATGTGGACTTTATTGTTTGCTCAGTGGGGTAATTCAGAATACTGCTTTTATTGAAATAGCAGTGTTCTTGTTCACTATGCACGATTTAGGTGGGTTGAATGTTTTGTACATATGCAAGCCTTCTTTTCGTACTGCTCCAAATTTGGTCTTTCATAAGAAAATTTTTTCCTGTAACCTGCTCCAAATTTGGATTTTAGTGCTCTAAAAGTAGCATTTTGCTGCTTCAAAATTGCTCCAAATTTTATTTTGGCTGTTCCACCCCTGAAAACTGTTAAGCGTAGTTGATAAGAATGGGATCGTATGTGCCTTAGCTATTGAGCCGCACGAACGTAGCCACGCTAGCGAAGCGTACACTGTAGCCGCGTCGGCACCGTTGCAAATCTGTTGCCCTCGGCGAGTCCGCGCAGCATGCCAGGGTCTTTTTTCCTTTCGGAATAACGATGTGCCAATAAGGTGCAGGCCTTATTTCTGTTCACTTAATATACACCGTTCAGCTAGCACTGAACGATGGCGAACCACACATGCGCACAGTTTATGAGGCGCAAACATCTTGGCAAAACACATTGTGTTTGTAGAGGCGGGTACGGCGTTTATGCCTAAGTGCTGCATCGTCTGCTCAGCTGCATGCGTGGCTGCACCAAGCCTGCACCGTCAGCGTAGGAGGTGCAGGAAAATCGTGAACCAGTGCTGCACCTCTTCTGCACCTTTCGAAACGAATGGCTGGGTAGGTCATCAATGCTGCACTACTGAAGCGAATGGCAAAGTGCAGCGCCTCGTGAACTGATTCACGTGGTGCAGGCGAATCGAACGGACCTATGGTGTCAGTGTGGCTCTCCTAAGGTATTCCTCAAGTGTAGGGTAGTGGGGGTTCTTTTCAAAACCACGAAGTCTCTGAATGTATCATGTAGTTTGTCAGTCACAGCCTCTGTTATTAGTTGTTGAGATAAATCTACAGAAGAGTCACTTGCGGCCTAGAATTCTTAAAATCAGATGTACTTGTGTTAGTTAAGTTGCTGGCTCAATTTCACTGCACAATCTCTGATATGTGTGACGTGGGTTATTGACACTTCTCGTAACTTGTGTGCAGTGATGCCAGACTGGAGGGACATGCGAGCCTGAGCCAAGCTTCCCTGCTGGTACTGTGAAAAATTTGTGCATCGTGGGCTTTCAAGGAAAATTAGAAAAGACGCTGATACTGTCGGAGGTCGACGTCAAGGACACGGAACTCGACTCTCTCGACGACTGCCAAGTGACCGTTGAAGGCTGTCCAGCCACACTGTTTGCTTGCAGGCTCAGGAACTGCGACATCCGGTGTGGACCAGTGGCCAGCTCCGTGTTTCTAGAACTGTGTGAGAGCTGTACATTTCTTGTTGCCCATCATCAGCTGCGCATTCAAGACTTCTAAACGTGTGAATTTCAAGTGCATGTCCGGACGTGCTCTATTATTGAGGACTCGCAAGAGCTCCTCCTCAGCAAGTATGACTTCGCCTAGGACAGAGACAAGCAAGATTGGCGTGCATCACACCTGGACAGGACAGTCAACAACTGAGACAAGATTGATGACTTCAACTGTCTTGTAGCCGATAAGCCTTAGCCCAACTGGAAGCTGTCGCAGGCATAATAGGGTATATGTGCCACAATAAATGCACACATTGTTGTGAATGAGCTCATTGCATTTTCTTGTAACTTGGAAAGAAATTGTGCAGCCACTCAAATTCTTGGCAAGATAGCACAAGGATAGACTGTAAGATGCCCCAGTATGCTGCAGCAGAACTAGCACGTGAATGTCTGGCTTAACAGCATTGCAGTTAATGCTATGGATTGCAAGCGGTTAAAGCACATGCATACGTGCGTGAATGAAAGACGAATTTTCGTCAAGGGGCTCTTTCATATGTTCGACACAACCAAATGGATTTAACAAACAATTACATGAGGGAAATCATAGAGGACGTTAAAAAGGTGCTTACACAAAAATGTTCTTTGTATGGCACTTTTCGCAGCAGTACGTTGCTGAGGACTTATTAGTCGAAACATGGTACATCGCTTGCTGCAGTGCACAAGAAATAATTAGTTAGTCTGTTGGTCTACCCCGCCGCGGTGGTCTAGTGGCCAAGGTACTCGGCTGCTGACCCACAGGTCGCGGGATCGAATCCTGGCTGCGGCGGCTGCATTTCTGATGGAGGCGGAAATGTTGTAGGCCTGTGTGCTCAGATTTGGGTGCACGTTAAAGAACCCCAGGTGGTCGAAATTTCCGGAGCCCTCCTCTACGGCGTCTCTCATAATCATATGGTGGTTTTGGGACGTTAAACCGCACTTATCAATCAATCAGCCTGTTGGTCTGTAAATAGTAAAACTGGGGAAACATCAAGGCATCGGCATAACATGTACATTCTCCGCCCAGATCACACAACGATGGTTTTAAGTTCAGTTTCCTTCTTGGGCGATCAGTGAGTTGAATAAGCTGCCAAATTCTGTTTTCTCATCTTCTCATCTGAAGGTGTCTCTTCATTCCTGCAAAATCCATGTGATCTGAGTGTATCACGATGTATAGTTTTTCTTTATATGCTCTTAGAGTAATGTGCTATGAATATTTCTTGTAAAGTGCCATGACTATTATATGTTTTAGTTGTTTGTATAGGGGGAGCTTAATGTTTTTATATGTATGTTTGTTTCTCCACTCCTGTTATAGCCCAAATGGGGCTTACATCCCCATTTGGTCTGTAATAAATAATAAATAAATATAATAATAAATATAATATAATAAATAATAAATATAATAATAAATAAATAATAAATATTATTGACCATTCGCACTTTGTTTGGCAATGTTTGTGGGAACCACAAAATTAAACTAGGCAAAAAACAAGGATAGAAAAGAGCGCTAGAGCAAACCGGAAGATGCTTGAAGGACTGTTTAAGACAGCATAACAATAATGTGCACAATGTCGTTCCAAGGACACCTCAGAATCTACTGCCGTGACTGCGGCTGCGTGTCCTTCTTTGAGTGTTGCGAGGTAATAGGAAAGCACCACTCGCACGCCATGCGTGAAATAATTGAAGCCTATCACATGAGTCGGTTTGACGGTACATGTGTAAGTTCCCAATCAGTTGCGCTATGGAAAAAAGAAATTGCGTATCTCAATCATTTTTAAGCTGTTTATTTTTGTCCAGCGCTATCAACAAGTGACAAGAGTTTTGCTGACATTGCACTGCAGTGGTTGTTAACTGCACCCTTCTACCCATGCCCATTTTCTTTTTTTCACCTATATATGTACAACACTCCACTATTAAATTGTTGTTGACAGCACTCTTTCTATCCTTATTCTTCGCTTCTCTAGTTATGCTGTAACTACTTCTAGGTTGTGCTGTTCGTATATTCAGTTAAGCTACACAAAATTAAGCTACATGTATTCATTCTAACAAGCCCGATCTACATGTCTGCTAAGTTGTTCGGCTAAGCATACAAAGTGCTTGCTTACATCTTGACAACAATGTTGTTGCGATGTACGTAAGTTTTGCTTGAGTCAACGAAATGAGTCCACTAAAGCAAAAAGGTGAGACGTGAACATAACCTTTATTCTGTACCAACATATATTGATGAACACGGAACTAACAATTACCTGTGTCTGTAAAACTACACACCTTTCACATTGTGTCATTTAATGCCTCTATAAAACTGATAACCGCTTACATTTGTGGTCAGATGCTGCCACCAGGCCATCACACGTTGCATCTTGTCATTGGTGTCTCAGCTGCAGTGCTGCAAACTATACAAAAATTTCCTTAGATCTTGGGGATTTTGGTTGTACTTAAGAGAAAATGATAATTTGTCAACATTTAGGGAAATTTTTCATGCCCGCATGAAGAAAGCGGATCCACAGAGGGACCTCCCGCCCATAACTTTTTGTTTTGCTCCTTCTTCAGCCTTTCCTCTTTTACACCGGCTGTACACTCGCCCAAAGACGCTGTGCCGTGCCCAGTAGCAGTTCCCAGGAGTGCAAGGGGATGACGGGGCCCGTTTCCACCCCCAAAGTTGGTGTCCGCGCTCTCCTCTCCACCATCTCATTGCGGTTCATTCTGTGCCTTCTGTGTTTTACGTCATGATGGACTCTCAGGGCTTCCAAGTGGTTGCTTCTAAAAGAGTGCACCGCCGTCATGCCAGAGAAACAGGAGTTGCTGCAGCCCTTCCTGCCAACCAGGCTGTTAGAACAGTTCTGTACTGGCCATCAGCTCTCAGAGGCACTTTCAGTGAGACCCCCCGCCTCTTCCTAGCTCAGGCATTCTCCACAGAGGGACCTCCCGCCCACAACCTCTTGTTTTGCTCCTTCCGCCTTTTCTCTTTTACACCGGCTGTACACTCGCCCAAAGGCGCTGTGCCGTGCCCAGTAGCGGTTCCCAGGGGTGCAAGGGGATGACAGGGCCCGTTTCCACCCCCAAAGTTGGTGTCTGCGCTCTCCTCTCCACCATCTCATTGCGGTTCATTCTGTGCCTTCTGTGTTCTACATCATGATGGACTCTCAGGGCTTCCATGTGGTTGCATCTAAAAGAGTGCACCGTCATCATGCCAGAGAAACAGCAGTTGCTGCAGCCCTTCCTGTCAACCAGGCTGTTAGGAACAGTTCTGTACTGACCATCATCAGCTCTCAGAGGCACTTTCACTGAGACCCCCCCGCCTCTTCCTAGCTCAGGCATTCTCCTCGCGGACCATTGTTGCTGCAGTTCGCATCAACTACAGACGCCACATTGTGACAGCAGATGCCTCCACGGAAAATGCCTGGAGGAGCTGCTCACAACCAAGGAGCTGTGGGGGATTCCTGTCTCTGCAAGGGAGCCGGCTGACCACAAGACCTGCACTGGTTTTTTACATAGAGTGGATGGCGAGCCTGGTACTGAGAGCCTGATGCCCAGGATGAAATACAACCTTACTGCGCTTGCTGCCACCAGGGAGTGCCAAACTGTACTCCACAACGTGAGGGAAAGCTGCATGCCGCGTGGTTGGACTCGCCACGGAGAAGACTGCTGACAGCCATAACTCCGGTGCATCAACTGTGGAGGCCCTCATTCTGCTGACGCGCTGGACTGCCCCAGGTGGCAGGAGTAATGCAGGGTGGTGACATAAGGCGTCGTCTACAACTACCCTCTCCAGGAGTGCCGTTGCTGTGGCGGTGTGCGAGGAATGTCGGGAGGCTCACACTTTTGAGTGTGTAGTAAAGGGGCACTCTCCACCTGCCACGCCTTGTGCCAGACTGATTCCGGGGCACTTTGAACACACCACTGCGAGCCACTCAAAGGTCGCAGATCAATGGCCCTGCTGCCCCTGTGTTCCCCGCCACTGCCATCATTGTTCCTGATGATCCACCTGTGGCTGCTGCTGCTATCTGCCTGAGCCAGCCAGCAAGAACTTTTGCTGGACCTGCTACCCCTTCCTTGGTCCCTGGAGTTCTTGATCCTGCTGCTACCACCGAAGCCAAGCAGGTGGTAGCCAGTATGGCTGAACTACTTCTGCTGCAGTCCATGAAGATTGCCTCTGCCACACTTCCCACAGACCGTCCACTACACATCATTTGGCGTAGACACACCAGCCATATTGTGCTGGAGTATGCAGCACCTGGGCCTGAAGGCAAATGATGTGTAGTGGATGGTCTGTGAGGAGTGTGGCAGAGGCAATCTTCATGGACTGCAGCAGAAGTAGTTCAGCCATTAGCAGCAGAAGTAGTTCAGCTACAAGGGGCCCTTGTAGCACTGGCTTGCTGTGCGTTGACGGTGCATCTCCGGAGAGTGGACATAATTGTTGCATCTGTTTACATCTATTCACACTTACCCTGTTATGTCATCATGCTAACCGGGCTCACCTTGGTCTTGGGAAAGACTGCCTGCTGTGTGGTGACATCAATGCCCATCATGCTGCCTGGGGAAGCCGCAGAAGCTGCTAGCATGGGAAGGATCCTTATGGACATAACCCACGAGTCGAGGTTATAGGTCCTGATTACTGGGGCCCATACATCTGGCAAATGGCCCGAGCAACCTGGACATCCATAGGCATCAGTCTGGCCATCCCTGGGATGTGCTACGGCTGGACCACTGAGCCAGACACCTGGGGGTCTGACCACCTGCTGATGGTCATCGCTCCAACAGGTGGATATGCCCCAAGGACACCGCGATACACAGTGGTAGACTGGCAGCTATACCGCCATCACTTGAGCATGGTCCCTGAGCACAAAGGACTCTTTGAGGTCATGACAGAGGCAGCAGAAGCGACGACCACCATCACCTCGGTACTAGTCGACCAGTTCGAAAGCAGCCAGGTGAAAGCAGTCTACCTGTATAGTGGCTGTCACTCTGTTCAACCAGCTGAACGCGGCCTGCTGACGACATGCCAACCAACGTTGGTGGCAAGGTTGTGAGGGCATTTGCCACACGATAATCAGAGACAGGGGAGTTCCAGGGCATGGAGACTCCTAGGGTTCCTTCTTGTTGGACCATCCGTGTGGCTGTCGGTACTCTCTCTGGCCAGCACGTGTGCTCTCTCTTGCTATCACGCTCAACATCTGTGAGAATGCCTTGGCTGAACGGTTCGCAGGCGAATTCTCTGTAATAGTAATGGAGCACCCGGTAGCAGTCCTGAATCAGCAAGCCCCCAGTCCACCGCCGGGACACCACCCGGTC